CATTTTGGGGCAACTCATCTGGACTTTTTGTACAAAAATGAACAAAATGAACTTGTGATTTATGGCTCTGAAGATTGGATAAAATAGATTATAAAAAGGAGAGTAATATGATGTAACTTTAGAGAGTTTTGTACTTAAAATTGCTGTGAAGAATATCCAAAGCTACTTCTTTATATCTTTTTTCTATTTTTCTTCAATATTTTCCTCTTTTTTATAAGTTTTGCTTTTTCTTTGATTTCTTTTTTCGTCATCCTTACCTTGCATTAGTTTGCACTGATTTAATTTTCTTTTAAAAAAATAAAAGTTTTAATTTATAAATATATATAAAAACATCCTTGTCCAGGGAAGCCCTATCTGAAGTTCAGTGAGAAAAAGCCACCTACAGTTCAAGCAGCTCACCACAAGATAGCGCTGGAATAGGAACTCATTTTAATTTAATTTAGTTTTATTATCCTATATATAATATAGTGGGCTGCTTGGCTGGCAGCTACATATACAGTGTGCCCTGTGGAATTCTCATCTACCAGCAATTACAAACAAACAAAAAATAATAAGCAGAATGTTGCAACTTGGGGTGTGCTCCTATGACCTATTCCACAAACAAGCAACTGGTGTGGCTTTCTAGAATAATAACCAGTGGGTAAGCCACTGTTGAATGAAAAGTCTTCATCAGAGTCCAGTCCAATCTGGGAATAAGCAAAATGGAGACTGCTTTAGAAAGAAGGGTGGAGTTTATTGAAGGGCAGAGCCAGACAGAAGCATGGCTATGGGAAAGCTGACCACGTGTAGTAGGGAGTGTTGGGTTTTTATACCTTCTTTTTTTCATTTCATTTTATTATATTTATACCCCACCCTTCTCCCGTAGGACTCAGGGCAGCTTACAGCCAGTTAAAAACAGTTTAATACAATACAATACAAAGTTTTAAAAAATCATTAAAAATAAATATTTAAATCGGCCGTTTCTACTAAAATTTGGCTAAAACCAATTTAAAATACCCCTAGGCCAGTCCTGCCCGCTGAAACAACCAGGTCTTAAGGGCGCGGCGGAAGGAGGGGAGATCTGGAATCACCCGGATCTCTGGGGGCAGCTCGTTCCAGAGGGTGGGTGCTCCGACAGAGA